AAATTAACATTAACATAGGCATTTGGTAATTAGATTCTTTGGATTGCTGAATTGATACAAAAGCATTACTTGGAAAAAATACACCAGCTATAGGTTAGTGTAGTTTCTGGATCAAACACATAGGAAAATGTTTCTTTGTCCCAAATCTTCTTACAATTAGATAACCGAAAGTTACATGTACAAACTGTATTAGATGCACATAACAGAATCACATGACAATGAAAATCACATTGTTTTCAATGCTGTTCATTCTCATCAATGCAACTCAGCATAATGTGATTTTGGAAACAGTTCCTGTACTACTTTGGTGCGATTCAAGTGCAATTTTAGTCCCATCGAATATGAAAACCACATTAAAGTAGCATTACATAGTTGTACTAAAAAATGGATCAAAATCAGATCCCAACAGTGTGAATCTAGCCTACATACAAAAGGCATGTGTGTTCTTACTTCAATCGTGGTTTGCTTTGTCTATTTATTTCAGATCTGCTTTCTGTAGGCAGCCTATAGTGGGTGGGCCCAGTGAGTCCTTCTTACTGCTCTGGTCTCTGCACATGCGTTATACAGCAAAATGATGATGTCACCAGGGGCATATTTACCATAAGGCAAACAAGGCATTTGCATAAGGTGGCATTTTTTTAGGGGGGCAGCACTGCCCCCTGGAAGAAGGGACATATGCGGCATGGGGACCAGCTGGGATCTGAGAGAGGCTACAGGCTGCTTGATGGTGTATGCACAGTTCAACTGTCGCTCCCGGGGATGTCCAGAGCTGTGAAGGTGAGTGTCTTTCTCTCTGTCGACGTGTGTGTTAGTGGAAAGCTCTCTTGGGTGGGGGCAGGGGTGTTGTTGATCACTATCAGGCCCTCCAAGAGTGGGGAGTGGGTGTCTGGTGTTGGTCGGTGTCAGGCTCTCTCCGTGGGGGGGGGGTTCTGGTGTTGGTCGGTGTCAGGCTCTCTCTCTGATGGGGAGGGAATGGGGGCATCCGATTTTTGTGTTGCCTGGGGCACCACAATCTAAATACACCACTGAATGTCACCACTACTTCTACAAAGGTAATAACTCGATTTGAAAAGCATTTGGTACACAAAAATAGTCTTATATCCTTTGTGGCTGTTAAGGAATATATTGAAAAGAAAGTTTTTGTGCCTGGATTTTAACTTTTTAATTGTGAAAATGTACCTTGTGATATCAGCGCATGTGTCTGTGTTGTGCTAGGGCCATATTAATTGTCCTTCTAACCTGCAGAATAAAGAGTTTAGAGGAGTCCCTATAAAAACTGGCATCCCTACAAAAATGCCAGGGATTTATGTTGATAAGTATTTTGCTCTTTGAATCTCAGTGTCTGGGAAGGGGTGGTAAAATGTTATGTTCAATCCACATGCTTTCCCAATGGGGATTTGCATATTGTGACTAATTACATAGTTAGTCTGGCTGAAAAAAGACAAAAGTCCATCCAGTTCGACAATAGAGGAAAAAAAAAAAAGTTATAATCCTATACCCACAGTTGATCCAGAGGAAGGCAAAAAAAACCCCAGCAAAGCATGATCCAATTTGCTCCTGCTGGGAAAAAAATTCCTTCCTGATCCCCGAGAGGCAATCGGATATTCCCTGGATCAACTTTACCTATAAATGTTGGTATCCAGTTCAAGGGGCGGACTGACAACTCATGGGGCCCCCGGGCAATAGGGGATCATGGGGCCCCTGTGTCCTTGCCAAAACTCAAAAAAGCCTATGAAAAAGGTACCAGGGGCATCTCATGGGGCCCCCTACTGACCCAGGGCCCTCGAGCAGTGCCCGAGTTTCCAAATGGTCAGTCCGCCCCTGATCCAGTTATATTCTGTGTATTTAAGAATCAATCCAAGCCTTTTTTGAGCTTGCCTAACCAACTCTTGAGGGAGTCTATTCCACATTCTCACAGCTCTCACTGTGAAGAAACCTTTCCGTGTTTGGAGATTAAATTTCTTTTCCTCCAGACGTAAATAGTGCCCCCTTATCCTGTGTGATGACCTCAGGGTGAATAGCTCTACACCGAATTCACTATATGAACCACTGATGTAAACTGTTGGTGCTATATAAATCCTGTATAATAATAATATTTATACATGTTGATCATATCCCCCCTTAATCTCCTCTTCTCAGGAGAGAATATATTCAGTTCCTCTAATCTTTCCTCATAGCTCCTCCATGCCTCTTATCAGTTTGGTTGCCCTTTTCTGTACTTTCTCCAGTTCCCCAATGTTCTTTTTGTGAATTGGTATCCAAAACTGAACTGCATATTCCAGATGAGGCTTTACTAATGATTTGTACAGGGGTAATATGATCTCTCTCTCTGGAGTCTATACCTCTTTTAATACAAGAGAGGATTTTGCTCGCTTTAGAAACAGCAGCTTGGGATTGCATGCCATTATTAAGCTTGTGATCTACCAGAACTCCCAGATCCTTCTCCACCATTGATTCCCCCAGTTGTACCCCCCCTAGTATGTATGATGCATGCATATTCTTAGCCCCCAAGTGCAGAACCTTACATTTATCAACATTAAACCTCATTTGCCACATAGTTGCCCAATTACACAGTGCATTGAGGTCGGCTTGTAAATTGGAGACATCCTGTAAGGATGTTATTCCACTGCACAGCTTGGTGTCATCTGCAAAGACTGAAATGGGATTTCAGACCCTATATCATTTATAAATATATTAAAAAGTAAGGGTCCCAACACTGAACCTTGGGGTACAGCACTGACAACCCTAGACCATTCAGAGTATGAATCATTAACCACTACTCTTTGAATACGATCTTATAGCCAGTTTTCTATCTATTTACATATGGATTTTTCCAAGCCTGTAGACTTTACCTTACACATTAGCCGTTTGTAGGGAACTGTGCCAAATGCTTTTGCAAAATCCAAGTATACCACGTCCACCACCACCCCTCTGTGTAAGGTTTTGCTCACCCCCTCATAAAAAGAAATCAGATTTGTTTGACAACTTCTGTCTTTTATGAATCCATGCTGTCTGTTGCTTAAAATATTTTTTTCCAGCAAGAACTCATCTATGTGGTCTTTTATTATACTTTCCAGTATCTTCCCAACTAAAGACATTAAACTAACAGGTCTATAATTACTTGGAAAAGATTTTGACCCCTTTTTAAATATTGGCACCACATTGGCCTTACGCCAATCCAGTGGTACTATGCCAGTCATTAAAGAATCCCTAAAAATTAGAAACAATGGCTTTGAAATGACAGAGCTCAATTCTTTAAGGACCACTGGGTGTAAGCCATCTGGTCCAGGTGCTTTATTCACCTTTATACTGTCTAAATGTTTTTGTATCATATCAATTGTGAGCCAATGTGGATCATCTGAAGCTGTGTCAATACCATGCCCATTATGGACAAGAGCTCCCCCATGCTCCTTTGTATACACAGAGCTGAAGAAGGTATTTAATAAATTTGCCTTTTCTTTGTCCCCAGTCACCCACTCTAGATTATTTTGTAAAGGGCCTACATGCTCGGACCGGACCTCTTTACTATTAACCTCCCTGGCGGTATGATTATTTCAGATTTTTGGTGCTGAAAGCGGTACCATTTTTTTGCATGGAAATATGTATTTTTTTTTATTGTAGGCTGTAATTTTTAGGAAAAACTCACTGAAATCTGTCCGAACAAGAGTCTAGTAAGCATCCCGGGTATGATAAAATTTGAAACACAAAATCATAAATTATAATTTAATAAATAATCATAAAAATAATATAAAAATAATAAAAAATTTAATTCAATAATATAATCAAACCAAAAACACTGAAATGTGAAATAGAGTGCCAAGTTCGCACATTGCTGAGCTCAGTCGCAAAATCGTTTTCAGTGTCTGATGACAAATTTCCCCCACGAATCATTATCACTCAATTCTGCAAGTGGTTCTGATTTACTATCGCTGTTCTCTAGCTGATCTAAACTGCTTTTGACCTAAAGGGACACTTTTTGGATGCCGTGGACATTTCTCAGTTTCCAGGCAGAAAGAACAGACAAAATGCAGGCAGGGCGCAGGACAAAGCACTAGGGACAATATGTATGTGAAATTGGTTGAGACAGCAATGTTTTACTATGTAAAATGTAAAAAAAAAAAAATGACATTTTTTAAAATTTTTAAATTTCCCGCCGCCGGCGGCGGCGCACGTACGTCCCGACGTCACAGGGACAGGACACAGAAGCCGGATGCCGGCATCGGCCGAAGGAGATGGCCAGGGACGCTGCAGGGGACACATCGTGGGAGCGCAGGGTAAGGTAAGTGAAGAACACTTGCCGGAGCAGTGCCGCAGGGTAAGCCCGAGTGTAGCTCGGGGTTACCGCTTTTGGTACTGAAATGTTACCCCGAGCTACACTCGGGAATACCGCCAGGGAGGTTAATATATTTAAAGAATTTTTTTGGGGTTGGTCCTGCTATCTTTTGCAATCTGTTGTTCGTTTTCAATTTTTGCGGCCTTTATTTTTTTTTGCATATTCTGTTATATTCTTTGCAATGTTTAAACGATGATAGTTTTCCTTCATTTTTATATTTAATAAAAGCTCTTTTCTTATTATTTATAGCCTTTTCAACTTTGTCCGTAAGCCACATAGGTTTAATTTTTAGCCTTTTAAACTTGTTGCCCATGGGAACAGATTTTGCAGTGTGTTCACATACAGTCTTTTTGAAGAACTCCCATTTCTGTGTTGTGTTCATCAATGCCAATATTCCCTCCCAGTCTAAGGCTTGGAGAGCAGATCTCAGCCTTGGAAAATTAGCTCTCTTGAAATTGAGCGGTTTTATTTTTCCAGTATGTGCTCGCTGTTTACAGCTAAAAATAAATGAAATCATGTTATGGTCACTGCTACCCAGATGTTCTTTAATATGGATATTTCCTCTGAAATTTTAAAGGGGCACTTTGAACACCTTGTTTCTTCACCTACAGTTCATTAAGGTTAAAAAAAATCCTCTCCTTTCTATTAAAAAATGTTATTCTTAATCCCTCAGACACAGCGGATCACCGATCAACGGAAAGAGCCAAAGATGTCGGCTCGGTCATGTGATCAGCTGTGTCCAATTACAGCTGATCGCATGTAAATAAGGAAATGCCGGTTATCAGCATTTCTCTCCTCACAAGCTGTCACACTGACAGCTTGTGAGGAGAGAAGAGCCGGTAATCGGCATTCCTCAGAGGGGACATCTACACTGATCATCAGGGCACTGATGATCAGTGTGCCCTGATGATCAGTGTAGCCCCAGCAGTGCCACCTGTCAGTGTCCATCAATGCCAGCTGTCAGTGCTCATGCATGCCACCTGCCAGTGCCCATCAGTGCCACATTAATGCCACATATTAGTGCCTACCAGTACACATCAATGCCACATATCAGTGCCCATCTGAGCTGCCTTTCCGTGCCACCTATCAGTGCTAGTCAGTGCTACCTATCAGTGCTGCCAATCAGTGCCGCCTATCAGTGCCAGTCAGTGCCACCTATCAGTGCGCATCAGTGCCTCCTATCTGTGCCCGTCAGTGCTGCCTATTAGTGCCGCCTGTCAGTGCCACCTAACAGTGCCAGTCAGTGCCGCCTATCAGTGCGCATCAGTGCCGCCTATCTGTGCCCGTCAGTGCGGCCTGTCAGTGCCACCTAACAGTGCCAGTCAGTGCCGCCTATCAGTGCCAGTCAGTGCCGCCTATCAGTGCCACCTATCAGTGTCATATATGAGTGCTGCCTTTCAGTGCCCATCAGTGATGCCTGTCAATGCCTATCAGTGCCACCGACCAGTGCCTCCTCATCAGTGCCCATCAGAGCTGCCTATCAGTGACCATCAGTGCAGCCTATCAGTGCCTATCACTGCAGCCTCATTAGTGCATATCAGTGAAGGAGAAAAATCACTTATTTACAAACTTTTATAACAGAAACTTTTTTTTCAAAATGTTCAGTGGTTTTTGGTTTGTTTAGCAAAAAATAAAAAATGAAGAGGTGAATAAATGCCACCAAAAGAAAGCTCTATCTGTCTAAAAAAAATGATAAAAATTTCATATGAGCACAGTGTTGCATGACCATGCAATTGTCATTCAAAGTGTGACAGTGCTGAAAGCTGAAAATTGGCCTGGGCAGGAAGGGGGTATAAGTGCCCTGTAGGCAAGTGGTTAAAGACTATATGAACACACTACAACAACAGTACATTCACTATAGTTCACTATAATCACATTCAATTTTGTGTAAAATAAACGTTTTGCACCTATTTATATTTATAATGGACCTCATTTGTGTGCAGTATATTTTTGACAGGAAGACTCTGTCATCAATCAACACAGCAGGGCTGGGAGGAGACATGGTGCTAAACTGAATACAGGAGATACAAATACGCCATGTGTAAGAACAGCATCCTGTTTTCTCCTAGCAAGTATGCCAGGGATGCAAACTGACCATGCAGGGACGGGTCTGCACCGTGCTTTATGAGGTCACTTTGAAACCGGAACCCAGAGGAGCTGGCAGCATCACATGATATCACATGATATTTTGAAGCAAACTAAAAATTAATTTTTAATTTTTGGGGTCAGGTACACTTTAAGTCCTGCCGATCCATCACCATATACATTTTTATTGGTTTTCTTTTATGTTATATCTTTTTACTACCGATTTTTGACAACCATGTCATTCGATAACCCACAAAATCGATATTGTATCACTACTTTCTTGAAATTTTCAGCAAAAACTAAGATTCTTTCAGCACTGGGAGGATTGTTTAACTGTGCCTTGTCTACTAAAATTCTATACATTTACAACATAAGTTTTCCTTTAAACAATGAAATTCTAACCCCCACTTTGCTTTCCCTATGTTATGTATACCACCATGTACAGGTGCTTGTACAAGGGTGTATAGATAGAATGAGGAAGGTCACGGGGTGTAAGGATTTACTTGCTTAAAGAAATCTTTTATCAATATCTACCAAAATATTTGTACTTACAAATGATGGGGATCTTCCAAGATTTTACACAGCTTCTGAATAAAAACAGATCCATCAGAACTCCGTAGACTTACATTATCTTCAGTGGTAGAATAGGCTGTTAGGAAATCTGCAGTAATAGGAAGACTTTTTCCATCACATTCATATATAGGTGCACTGTCATCTTCATAATAAAGGACTCCCGCATCAAGTTCACCTCCTTGGCATGCTTGAATAAAAAATACCTTAGGCTTCCCAATGAGAGTCTCACAATTCCGACCATTGAAACAACTAATTAAGTTAGAAATGAACTCTTCTTCTCCGTCAACACCTAGCACAGTTCCTTTATCCCCATGTGAGAGAATAAAGCAGATAAAGCTGTCGTAATTAGTATGATCCTCTTTCTGATACTTCTTCATGATGTCTAACATTTCATTTGCTTTCAGGTTGTTGTGTTCTTCTACAGTATATCTTCTATTTTCAAAAACTCTCTTTATTGCCTCTGCCATACAAAACAATCAAGAAATACATTAATATCAAGAACTTATATACATATTTAAAGTGTATCTAATTCCCCCTCCCCCCAAAAAAAAAATCATTAAATGGAAGTTTAACCACAATTGTCTCCAGTAGGTGTCTTTTATTTGCACTTTGACTTTTTTTTTTACAATTTGTACCTAGTTATCCTGCCCTCCCTGGTGCTTCCACACCTTGGGTGACAAAGCTCACTCACCTGTAAGTCTATGCAGGAGCAATGTTGTCACTCTAGAACAGATGCTCCTCAACAGTACAAGCTGACATGCCAACGCCTTAAAGTGGAACTTCACCCAAACATTTGGCACTTTTATAGTTTTTGTAGCTACTGACTTTTAATTGGGGGTGGGGAGGGGGGAGACTGGAGAAGCGCTTTACGGTAATGTTACAAAAAGTATACAAATGTGTGTAGTTACTTAAAGCGGAACATTAGGATAAGCAAATATTGTCTAAATAGTGTAGGCATTTGTATTTTTACATGAATCATAGTGAGCTTTGTATATTTCCTCCAGATCTGTGCAATAATGCATTGGGAAACTTTGCCTCTGCGCAGGAGCTCTCTGTAGAAAAGAGCAAACACTGCTGCTTTCTCTCCTTGTGCAGGGTGACTGGTCTTGTCTTTGATCCTCCCCTTCATGCTGCATACTACAAATAGCTTTGGTAATATTTCAGCCAGAGCCTGTCAGACACAAATCACTCCGCCTGACAGGGAAGTGTTGGTCCTAGGCTTGTGACGGGTGCAGGATCGCACTCAACACAGCGCTGCTCCTCTGGCTCTGCAAATATTGTAGCAGGGGTACTGTACTTGTCTAGCCCAGGTAAAGCAAGATTTTAGCAGCACACTGCACCTACGCCCCCCCCTCTTCTCCAGTAAATTGTGCCACCTAGGGCTACCCCACCTTTCGCCCCCTCCACCTTGTCCTGGCCCTGAACACAGTGATGATGTGATTGCTACTTTTATGGTGTAATATCTGAGTTTGCAAAGTCATTTGTTGCACACAAAGTGTATTTATTTCCTTTGTGGCTATTGAGGAATATATTGGAAGTTTTTGTGCCCAGAGTTCAGCTTTCACCAGTGCATTAACCTTTATCATTAGTGCTACAAACAGATTCCTGTAGACAGATCCTAAGTACCCAATGTACCTAGTAATACTGCATACAAATTCATTCATTTTCCTGGTATTTAGCAGCAGTGTCTAGTCCTGTGTTGTCTAGATATAACAAAAATGAGTTCATTTTTACCTAGAAAATGTTTTTGAAACCTGAAAAAATCCACCTCCTTTACAATCCTAGGTATAGTAATTGTGCTTTTAAGAAATTGAAGCCCTGTGCAAAGATAAAGGTTAAGACAAGGGACGGAACTGCTACCTATGTACTTGGCATGTGAGGCCATTACTGTAATTATTATACACATACATTGGAGCCCACTTGGTGGGCCTGTTTGCCCAGCAGCGGGTAAAGGATCAGGTACTTGACACAGGAATAACTTCACAATCACATCACAAATTTTATCAGTAAAGGGACACACTAGAGCAGGGGTGTCAAACTGGTGGCCCTCCAGCTGTTGCCAAACTACAAGTTCCATCATACCTCTGCCTTTGGGAGTCATGCTTGTAACTGTCAATCTTGCATTGCCTCATGGGACTTGTAGTTTGGCAACAGCTGGAGGGTCGCCAGTTTGACACCTGTGCTCTAGAGGTACTGTATGTTGCTGTTGGGAAAATCACAAAAAGTAGCAGTGTAGTAGGACTTAAATTGTGGCAAGGCATGGCACTCTGACTAGAAAAAAATGTATAGGTTACAAATAGGGTTTCCAGAAAACCTTTGGCATAAATGTGTAATAATTGCAGTATTTACAATCCCACTACAGACATTGCATCCATGTCTGTGTTCAGAACCCCTTTTTATTGCTCTGTTTATGTGCTTCTCTCTCCTCTGTGTTGTCCAACACCCCTTTTCTAACTCCTAATTGGCAACATTGCCATTAAAAACTGGAAGTTATTTTTCTGCAGTAAAAAAAAACTGTAAAGTGTATCTAATTCCCCCTCCCCCCCAAAAAAATCATTAAATGGAAGTTTAACCACAATTGTCTCCAGTAGGTATCTTTTATTTGCACTTTGACTTTTTTTTTACAATTTGTACCTAGTTATCCTGCCCTCCCTGGATAGGATATTTTGCTCAATGTACATCCATGTCTGCTCATCTCTCTGATTAGTTTTCTCTACTTTCCCCGATCCTCGCTCTCCTCCCTAGTCATTTTTTTTCCTTTCCATCTATGGCCTCTCTCCCTATTAATTACCGTATTAAATATTAAAAATATCTTGGACTGTTTTATCTGGTTTATTAACATTTAAAAAAAACAGGAGCAACAAGACATGCCCACGCAAAGGCCAACAATTGCACATAAACAAATAAAGAAAACAGTGCTCTAACACCAACAGAGCAAAAGGTGCGCCCATGCAGGGGCTATCAATGGCACATACATAACAAAAACAGTGGCCTGGTCTTTTTTTATTACTTTAATCAAACCTGCTTTCTTTTTTTGGTCAATTTCCTCCACATCCATCCATGCCTTTTTTGTAATCAAGTCAATCTTCTCTACAACCTTTGATCCATGCCCACTTTCCTCATTTTTCCTCATTGGCCATTTCCTTCCTTAGATACCTGCTTTTCTCCCTAGTAACTTTCCTTATTTTCACCCAAGCCAACTTTTGCTTCTTTGTAATGTTACCATTTATGTTTAACAACCCGTTTTGGTAATTTCCTCCACTTTATGTCTGTCCCCCGCTCACCTCTCCTTTGTGATTCTTTTTTTTTTTTCCACTTTTCTTCAAAGGCATTTTCTTGCTTGTGCATTCGTTTTCCTTAACGTCAATTTATCACCAGAAGATAGTCAGGCTTTATTCTGTTTACCTGGGGTACTTCCCATAAGTAGGCCTTGCACCAGACATTGTCCCATTGACCAGCTTGACCTTTCACAGCTACCACTATGGCTGACTGACCAAAGATAAGGCCCAACATGCTCTTTACAGAAGAGCTCCTACTTTTTTTTTTAATGGAGGCCCTGGAATGATGCCTCTTCTATATCATTGTTCATATTACTCAAGCCTCAAACATGTTTGGTCAACTGTCCTCAATTTTAAAAGGCTTGGGAAGCTATTTTATCTCTTCAATAGCCCTGAATCTGCACATATTGATGGCTTTGCAACACGCCAACGTAGGATATAAGCCAGTAGATCTCTACTACTAAAAAACAAAATAGCTATTGACCAGCTGATGCCAGTGAAGTACCCCTATGGTGCCAGGAAGACATGCTTCCACAGATCCTACTGGCAGGGCTGATAAGGAAAAGACAATAAGCTCCACAATAAATCAATAGCTGCCCAGTGTGCCCAGTAGCACAGAAAGGAATTCTACAATATTTAATAAGTAGGCTGCAGATTTTTTTTTCTTGCTGCCAGCTCTTAATTACATCAGCGTCATCCATGTAGTAGGGCGACATTAAGTTTTAGGGGTTGTGGAGAGTTAAATATAAATAACTGAAGTTGTAATAATTTTTTACTACATACATTATTATCACTTTTTTCAGATTTCAAGAAAAAAGAGATGATGTGGCCCACACCCTCCACAATTCCCTAATAGGTTTGTGATCATTAGCTGTGTGTGAAATTGTTGTTTGCCCATTGTAAACCTTTATTCCCATGAATAGTATGTTTTTTCATGAAAAATTATTTTATCTTACCCTTAAACGGCACTATTTTTGCGTTCCTTGTAGACATCTTCTAACATCTCAAAAGCTAACGATATTTTAACATAAAAACACACAGAATATGTTTAATAAATCAACTTTTTTACATGCAAAATAGAACATACAGTTACCAGCCACTTTATTAGGTATACCTGTTCATTTGCTTGGTAACACAAATTGCTAATCAGACATTGACATGGCAGGAACTCAATGCATTTTGGCATCTAGACATGGTGAAAACAACTTGCAGAAGTTCAAACCGAGCATCAGAATGGGGAAGAAAGGTGATTTAAGTGACTTTGAACGTGGCATGGTTCTTGGTGCCAAACAGCTGGTCTGAGTATTTAAAAAACTGATCTACTGGTATTTTCACATACAACCATCTCTAGGGTTTACAGAGAATGGTCCAGAAAAGAGAAAATATCCAGTGAGCGGCAGTTTTGTGGATGAAAATACCTTGCTGATGTCAGAAGTCAGAGGAGAATGGGCAGACTGGTTCAGCTGCGACATTCAGATGGTAGGGTCAGAATTTGGCATAAACAACATGAATGCATGGATCCATACTGCCTTTTATCAACAGTTCAGACTGGTGGTGGCTGTGTAATGGTGTGGGGGATATTTTCTTGGCACTAGCAAGGTGTACCTAGTAAAGTGGCTGGTGAGTGTAAATCTATAACATGCAAGTGGTAAATTCAGGTCATATACCATAGGTGTTTAAATCTTTACAGAATGGAAAACATTGTTTTTGATTTTAAAACTTGGCATACAATGCACGGTTATAAAAACTCTGCATGATTGTTTTTTTGTTGTTTTTTTACCAGCATCTTTTTCTGTTCCATCCCTTTTAGGCTGTTTTTCAAAATCCTTGTTATTCAGAATCACACACCATCCATGTGGGTTTTTCTCTAGACTGTACGTTCCCAAATCCTGCAGAAATAATGACTCTTGTTAGTTACATTCCATTACAGTGGTGATTTATGTGATCTATGTTTCACAGCTGTATTGATGGTATATTTCTTGACCCTCCATTCACACTGGCCTGCAGGCTGCGGGCTGGTTGTGGGTGCAAGAATTGTACATGTTCCTGCACCCGCAACCACCCACAGCCGAATTGCGCTGCTTCTGCAAGACACGTGGGGTTGTGATTCA